TTCGAAGCCAGAGAATAACAGCTTAAATTTGGGTTGTATGGCTTCAGACGACTTGGTATACGTAGTTTTACAAGTCATATGTACTACTTTTGTGGTATTTATTTATTTATTTTGATTTATTTTTTATTAGCTTAATCCCAATGAACTATTTGGGTTCATATTATGGCAAAATGTAACATTTTGGATAAATTTAACAATTAATTTAATATATGGGGGAGTAAATAATTGGTTGTTGAATTATTCCTTATTTTTTTTCACACTTGAAGTCAGGATGGGAAGCAAAATGTTCTGTGAACGTAATTTAATTTTCATCTCTTTATTTTACTAACAGACATCTAGAGTAAATCATTTGGCAAATAACAATGTTTTGGCAATTAACATTGCAATGAATAGTTCTATACACCCTCAAGTTCCTCAGCACAATAGGAATGTGGGCCATTTTGCATTAGAGTCCATAATGCATAGAGGAGATATCATACCCGATGCCGGCGTCGGTGCGACCAGCCTACATGTGAGTCAGCAGGGGCTCTGAGTCAGACACCGCTAACACACTTTAAAGGGTACCAACATTTTGTGCACAGGAACAATTAACATTGCAATGAATAGTTCTATACACCCTCAAGTTCCTCAGCACAATAGGAATGTGGGCCATTTTGCATTAGAGTCCATAATGCATAGAGGAGATATCATACCCGATGCCGGCGTCGGTGCGACCAGCCTACATGTGTGAGTCAGCAGGGGCTCTGAGTCAGACACCGCTAACACACTTTAAAGGGTACCAACATTTTGTGCACAGGAAATAAAGATACAGAGGTGAAGAGAGAGAGAGAGAGAGAGAGAGACCACAAGTCAGTAATTATGGTCAGTAAGTAAATAAGCAATCGCTGATTCACTTTGTACAGCAAGATGAAACAATAAACAGTTCATTCTTTTTTCCACAGTTCACATTTTTAGTCACAATACATCTTTGTACTGTCATCAGTTCAATATATCACACTTGAGAATGAAAGAAACTTTTAGCTTTTAGGTTTTCCAGTCCAACAGTATTCAAAAGACTAGTTCCTAATCCCAAAAACGGTATGGATGTTCATTGTGGAAACTGCTTTAGAGACAGAAAATGGCCTCTCAATAACACTGCCATCTTTGTCTTCAGTAGGAGACTTTTCTTCCTCGGTGCAAAGGCTCAGAGAGGGCTTATTTTGTCTGTCTCATTTCAGTGCTTCATCCCCGTGGCATTCGCTACAGTTTTGAGATCGTTCAACAATACTGCTATTTACAATGCCTAAAGAGCATTCACGGCAAACCGATTATCTTTGACAAACACTGATCTGAGACGTGTCGTGGAGCTTGTGTTACTACACATCATCTCGATTTTCCTCAAAGTTTATATAAAAAAGTCTGGCTTTTTGGGCACATTTGAGTAATATACAGATGGACATTGTTAAAATAGCACTTTTTTTTCAAAACGTATGGTCCCACATGAATACAAAAGATAAAAACCCAGGCATGAACTATTTAACCGCTGATGTTACAGTTAATACAGTATGTTCAATTCGACAGACACTGGAACACAACAACAACAATAACTTACAATCATGTGTGCTTCAGACATCAAAACAACAAGAATATACATGTGATTCAAGACTCGTGAGTGCCTGGGCCTGGAAATGATTGATAATCCTTATAAACAAAATGTGTACTACAAATATCATCAATTAAAGTGTGCTTTATCACATAAGCAGTGTAAAAATCATTTTCTTAATCGCTTTTGTCTTGGTCTTTTGTCTCCAGTAAAAATATGTAAACATCCTTAAAAGTTACATTTGCTTGAGGTACAAAATAGTGTATGATAAGAGGAACTATATATAATATAATACAGAATATATAATAGTTTAGAATCTACCAAATGCATTTCAGTAGTTCAAACAGTAGAGCATGGTGCTTGCAACGCCAAGGACAGGGGTTCGATTCCCAGGATACAATGTATACCTTAAATGCATGTAAAAGCATCTGCCAAACGCATAAATGTACCCTTTGACCTATTATTATTATTATTTAAGGATAAATCTAGCTAAATGTAATGCTTAAAATGAGTAGAAATATATTTTGGCACATTGTTTTGTCTTTATTTAAATGGATAGTTCACCCAAATATGACAATTTGGAAGCTAGGAGGGTGAATAGATTTTTGGGTGAACATTAACATTAAACATAAAATTCTCAAAATCATGTTTGATTTATACTTAAAACATTACAGAAGAAAATAAAAGGAAAAATCTTGTCTTACACAATATTTCTTCTCAGGTAAAAAAAAAATATTGTTCTAAGGATGTTCAGATTTTTTTATTGGAGATAAGACAAAATATTAAGAACATGATTTTTTTTCAGTGAGAGTATCAGCAGCTCAGTCTGTGATCCACAGCTGAAAACGTTCTCATTGATCAATAATAAAACTCTTCAATCTCATCTAATATTAGACTGACTACATGTATGTGAGCACATCTAAAACAGTCCTTCACCATTAAATGAAAGCCGATCTGATAAATGGAATGACCTGAATCCCAAAGATAAAAGATCAGAAGCATCACTTTTGAGAAAGAAAACTTTGGCAGCAAACAAATCTTCTAAGTTTCCATCTGAAGCAACTTCAGAATTAGAAAAGCGAGTCATTATGCTTCTCACATTATGATTTCATACATCTTGTACATCCGAGCACGTCGAAACATTTGGCAACATTTGGAAAAGAGTCTTCTGCATTCCTGTGAATATAGCACCACCCACACATGACTGTATGTATATTAGCCTCCTGCTATTGATTCAACATTTCACTGTTAAACAAAAGTGACATTTAGAAGACAGAACTTCACAGTACACATTGATACTTCACAGTATCACATATCCAAGCCATGTACGCTACTTAACAGTGATATTATCAGCAGTTATTCAGTACCGTAAAACATTATCAGCAAGGACGCACTTCTGGCATGGTTGTTGTTTTTCAGTAGCAAAGTCAGTAATTACTGTGAGTACTGGTTACTGTGGTGTTCAATATGGTATGGTAAAATATGGATGCGCAAAACAACATCCAAAACCATGGAAATAAAAGGCAGGTTGTCTCAAAATGCATACACATTACATTTACAATACATTGACATTTTGCACAACATAAGTTCTGTAAACACTGCATAGATGACTCTAGCACTAACGTTTTCACAATAACCAATGATATAAATAAAGCATAAAAATCTCAGTAGTGGGCACTCGTGTCCCCCGTCCCTTTAGGAGTCGGGTGCAGAACCTGGCGAGTGCTAAGAGAACTGTTTGTTTACCATCCATTTACATCCGGCTCTGAGGCTGGACTAATGATGTTCTTATGTGTTTCGCTTGTTGATGAACCATTGACTGAAGTTCTGGTTTCTCCCTTGTGATGTGGGCTTTTTCATGTACTCTCAGTGGTCTGGATGCCCCCTTATCAGGGTTTTTCAAGTACGCAGCCCCCTTAGCTCTTTTCTAGCCGTCTCCCCTTTTAGGGTTTTAAGTAGATGGTCTACTTCACTTTACCCCTTAAGCTTAGTCAGGTAGTAGGGGTGGGCTGCCCCACCCCCTTCCTACAGGGATTTTAAGTGCATGCTGCTTTGGCTCATTGTAATATAGCCTTCTGAGGATAGCTGTGTTCTTAGATTGGTTAATGGGATGTCCCTCCTGTTTGGCTGGGTTCTCCATTTTTCTGAGTTATGTTAGTGGCCCCAGGTGTCAGTGGCTTGCCCCCTTTCTGAGGGAAGGTTTGGTGTATGTCTGTCGCTTCCCTTGGTGCTCTCTCACCAGGTGAACAGGCATGCACGTGGCATGGAATAGATGGCATTCCGTTCCCAATAGTGTTCGCTAGAGGTCGCAACGCGATTTCCCTAGAAGGGGAACGTCTCAGGTTATGCATATAACCATGGCTCCTCGAGAGGGATTGAGATGCTGCGTCCCCTCACCATGCCTAGGGCTTGCCTATTTACACGTCTCCTTCAGACAACTAACTTGGTGACGTATTCAGCAGGCTCCCTCTTATACTTCCAGGCAACCGCCTGTGACGTCCCAGGCTACATGGGCCAATGGGATTGGAGTTGTTTCACATGTGCTTCAGACACTGGTCTTGCTGGCAGCAGTCCCATAGTCTCCGCTATAGGACGCAGCGTATTCTTCTCTCTCTCTGGGAACCATGGTTACATGCGTAACCCGAGACGCTTTAAAGCAATATTTCACACAAAGATTCTGTCATCATTTAGTCACCCTTGTGTTGTTTCAAATCTGTATGGCTTACTTTTTCTGCAGAACACAAATTAAATTACTTTTGTGTGTTATTTTGGACCCCATTGACTTTCACTGTTCTGGAAAAAACTATGGAAGCCCGTCTCCTCAAACTCATAAACTCTGACTGTTTTTTTTTGCAAGTTTACATCTCTCACTTCTTCGTTTATACAGCATCTCGCAATTCAAACTTTGTTTCTCAGAATTCTGAGTTTATGTCTCAGTTGTTTTTTTGTTTCCACAGAAGAATGAAAAATTAAATAATTGTGACTTTTTATCTCTCAGTTCTGACCTTTCTCTTGCAATTACAAGTTTATATCTCATAATTCTGACTTTTCTCAGAACTATCAGATAAAAAGTCACAAAATGTTGAAACACTCTTCAAAATTTCTTATTTTATGTTCCTCAAAATAAATAAAGTCCTACAAGTTTGGAACAACATGAGGCTGTGTAAATGATTTTTGGGTGAACTGTCCCTTCAAATGCAAATTGTGCATTTTGGTCAAAATCATCTTTCTCAATAAATATATACATATTAAACTCTAAAATGCATGATTTGCATCTAAAATATAATTTACAAAATATATTTTTCTGTATGTTTGTGTGTGTGTGTGTGTGTGTGTGTGTGTGTGTGTATGTTCCACAGAAGAAAGAAAATCATACAGGATTAGAACGACAAGTACGTGTGTAAATGACAGAATTTCTGTTTTTGGGTGAAATATCCTTTTAAACGCTTTTTGTGCATTTTGGTCAAAATCAGCTTTCCAAATAAATACATACTTATTAAACTCTAAAATGCATAATTTGCATCCAGATTAATAAACACATGAAACCGAACATGAAATAAATATACATCTACATTGGGACATTTTACAAAAATATAAATCTGCAAGTGCTCACAACAGACCCTCATTTGAATTAAGTTACATGTACACGAAGCTCTTATTGTCAAGCAACTTTCATTAAGCTGGTCCAGTGGTTCAGTTGTGGATTAACCCCAGTACCATTTGTCGAGTTTGTTAATTGTTTTGTACTCATTGTGCCTTCTAATGTAATCGCAAGCCAGACAAGTGTGTTCAGCCCAGAAGTATGCCTTTTTCACCTTAAAGTGTTTACGCCAGTCAAAGTACTTCAGGTAAAGCTCCTCATTTTTGTCAAGGAACAGGAGGTAATCAGCCAGCTCCTTTGGAGACGGGAAGTCATCGACGTGGATAAAAGCATTTCCCTGCACGAAGTTCTGATAGTTCTCCCTTGGTGGTCCGAGCACCACGGGTACAGTGCCGACGGAAAGCGGGTTGTACAATTTCTCAGTGATATAGTCTTTGTGAATTGAGTTCTCAAATGCCAAATAAAATTTACAGCTTGCAATTGTAGGGAAATAGTCCTGGTCGGAAATGTACTCACCAAATGCTTGTCCGTATGCATGAACCTCGATGTGCTTGTATAGTTCATTGTAGTATTTCACTCTGACGTGGTCTGGGTTCCAATTGCTGACGATCCAACAAATCAGCTTGTTCTTGCTTGGTGGCACGAAGTCCTCATCTCCTTGGGCTGCGACAATCGATCCATAAGGCACTTCTATATCAGCATCCTGTCGATAGTTTAGAGTTAAATTAAACAAGTTTTCAATTCCAGGTAACTGAGATGAATGTGAAGGTGATTCGAAGTTCATCCAAATCCATCTCTGCAACGTGGGCCGATACGTCGGTGGGATGTTGGACAGGTCACTGGTGATGTCCCTGTGATGTATGACCACGGCGTCAGATTTGTTGTAAAGGTTTCGGTCTGCAGTGATGAAGCAGCCATCGATACTGAACAAAGAGCTGCAGACGTTCAGGTCGTAGGTTTCACCAAAAGGCCAAAGCCAGACCAGGATGGTGGTCTGGTTCTGTTCACTTCTGGTGGAAAGGAGGCTCTTCACTCGGGCTGTGGATGTTTCTGACTCGGCCGGGCCTGACAACCAGCTCGTAGATGGTTTGATGTACATTAAAAACAAAGTCACAAAGCATCCTAATAAAAAGATACCAAGCAGGAGGGGTCGTAGGATTCTGTAAGTTGGTGCAGATGGCATACTCTCGCCTTTAAAGAGGAAGTAGATGAAGATCAAAAGGCAAAAAACAAAAGGTTATAGGTCATTATATTAAACAGCTGCCTATAGACCTTACTCAAGGTAATGCCAAATTTAATTTTTGACAGTAATGAAAACAAAGCTGTAAGGGATAGAAGAACAGTGCATTCAATTTATTGTACTATTGTTTAACAACATACCGACTATTCAGCTGAAGAAACGTCTTTCTGTAAAACTCAGTAGACAAAATCTCCATAAAACAGTTTTAAAAGTTGTGAGTTGGAAAAATGACTTGATGTAGGAACTTTATACAGTGCGTGCCATTTGCAGTATATATGTTGAGGTGTCTCATCCATCAGATGATTATATGTGCACTACTGTAACGAAGATAAACATAAAACGCATAAAAATCCTAGACTTTATGTAATGAGGCATTTACATGTCTAGGACGTTTAACTGTACAAGTGCACTTGAGATTAAAATGCTGGCTGGTTTACACATTGAAATCACGTGATTAGTAGAATACATATATATATATATATATATATGTATATATATATATATATATATTTACATCTTCTTCAAAGAGATCAGTTTATGGAATAGTAGTTCATTATTTAGAGAGAATAAAACTATGATTAATATATTTAACATGACTAACTAATCACAAGCACTGTGAATTCCAATGTAAATGCAAAGAAAATAATCTTAAAAATTCACCTGACAGATTTGCTGATATCCAGAAGGTAAAATGATTGTATGTTCCGGGTTCTTCTTTTTATTACCAGAATAATGTCAGTCTTAAAATCAAAGGTCTTCTCATGAGGGGAAAAAGACAGAAAATAGATTGCATCACTGTTCAATCAATATCAACTGGTAGATGTCAAGAATTTTAAGGAATAAAGCTGCAGACTGACTATAAAATTGAATATCAAATAACACTTTGTGTAGAAAGGGTGTGAACAAACATTTTAGACTGGGGGGATCCAAATCTGAAAGCTTAAGATTTTGTCATTGAAAACTCCATATTGTTTGATCACTGTTTAGAATATTTAGGGAGATGCACCTCCCTCATTGTCTCTGGTGGTCCTGGGCCTTTTTGTGAGATTGTATACTCAAAAATAATTCTGGATCATTACAAGAACAATTAGACAATCAGTTTTACACATGGGAACACTGCCATCTTCAGGATGTCAACAGATAATAATTTATATAAAATTTTCACCTTGGCAAGATGTTAAAATGAGCTAACAGTTTTAGGATCTAGAAACACTAGATTTTGTTTTCTGAATACATTCCCGGAACAGAATCCAAAATCTTTTTCTTTCCATCCTTCTTTTTTCTTTTTAAATGAAAACCATGGGACTACTATAATGCAATACAATTTCCAGTCTTTCTTAAAACCACACTGCACATAACATCCAAATTCTTCAAAAGTGAACCAATGACTTCAAGAGGCTATAAAAAAACATTAGTATCAAAATACACCATTAAAAATCAAATAAACATTCAATTAACTTATTCAATGAACTTCAATGGACTAAATCAACAGCTCAATTAACTGTACAATTTCACAGGGACATCTGCCAATAAAAAAAAATCTTCACAGCTTCCTCTTAATATCACCCTGTTCTGTTAAACTATAGTAATTGTGCTAGTCTGACACATATAAGCAAATTAATAATTCAATTAACAACCAATGAGTCACATATCTTTCTATTAACTTTCACAGCAACATTTCACAATAAGGTTCCATTTGTTAACATTAGTTAATTGCATTAGATAACATGAACTAACAATGAGACATACTTCTACTTATTAAAATCAAAAGTTGTATCTGTTAATATTATGTCATGGACTTGAGATTTAATGAACTAACAATGAATAGTTGTCATTTTAACAAGGAATAATAGATACTATAACAAATGTATCGCTCATTGTTAGGTAATATCAGTTGATGCATTAAATAACGTTAACTAATGTAACCTCATTGCAATTTGTTACCACTTTTACATTGCACAGGTATGCGGACTAAAAAAGGCATGTATGGATCTCAGGAAGTAAAGCAACATGACAATAAAATGATTTGGGATTCTTATATGCCAGTGTTCTCAGGTGCAGCCCGTGAGATATATCCCATCTAACACATCTGTTACTCATTCATCTCATATTCATAATGCATTTCGGCTGTAGGGTTTTACACACGCGTTACACAACACAACACTGTTGGCTGAGAAATAAGCTTTGTTTTTCGTCTCTGCAGTGTCCATTCGCTATTAATCCACGTGTGGACACACGGAAGAGCTGTTTAAAAGGTTTATCAGTGCATTTGTGACTCAATCATCTCATATCACAGCAAAAGCTGTAAAAGAGCGGACACAGACGAGGCTTCTGGGAAATAGATTATACACCTGTTAAATCAAACATTGCTCACATCCAGTACATAATCAAATATAATTATGTTAATGGATATTTATTTCTCAAAGTTTACAAACTTTGGCCAATAATCAGCTATTTAAAGGTCCTGAGGGGAGAGTCTTTTAATTGGCAAAGTGTTTGGCATTTCATATCCTGTTTCCTAACTGCTAACTGTATATATTTACATATTTTTGGCCAACAATACACATATGATGCATGATTTTATTAAAGTAAACGAAGATCACAGAGGTTGCATCCCAGTCAGCAAACAAATTTGGCCCAGATTTGGCATGCATCTGGCACAGCTGGCATTCATCTGGCACTGGCATACAGCATGTGGGCCAAACATGGCCCAGGTTTGGCAAAGATGGTACCGGGTTTAAGACACCACACAAGACATGGGCCAGATGTCAAATGTAGTATTTGGCCCAGATGTCAAATATAGATATGTGGGCCACATAAGTATGGCCGATCTTGACCCACTTGAATCCATTTCAAATATTTTTGAGCAAAATCAAAATAATCAAAATGTTATCCCATACAGAAAGGTTATATATTCACATATATGTGAAACACTGTTAAATATATTGAAATATATTTAGAAAATGCATAACATAAAGCGCATGTTGCGTGTTTAATTATGTGTTTACATCTATGTGAAATTATATTCATGTCTCATATGATATTATATGATATATGATATTATTTCTTATATTATAGAATAGTATATCCTGTTGTTATATATATATATATACAGTATATATGTGTGTGTGTGTGTGTGTGTGTGTATATCCTCCTGAGACCCAGCTATGGAGTTTTTGCCTCTGTAGTGGACATTATATTTTAGTGAATTTCTCTGAGAACTCACATGTCACAGTACTGCTTTCATATTCTCATTCAATTTACAGTTTGATGTAGGCCTACTATCCACTTAAACAATACATGATGAAGTTTCAAGACATTTTAATTTACTTTTATGTACTATTTATCTAAATGCGTAACTTTGATGTGTTTTAATGTGCGCGCGCGTTGAGCATTCAAATCGCATTTAAACTGGAGCGGAAGGAGTTACCATGGAAACAAGGCGTCGACTCACTCAGCTCTTCATTGGTCGACATTTTATTCCATAACGTTACACAGTTTTGATGCTGTTTTATGTCTGATGATCGTGTTAGATTACATGTGGAAGCATCTGTTGTTTCGGTTTCTTCTTCACTTGTGTTTTTTGGAAATTCTGTACAGAAGATGTGTACTAGCGCCCCCTACCGTATAACAATGAAAACACGGATTCTAGGAACACAAGTATAGCTCAAATATATTTAGACTAAGTATAAGTCAAGTATACTTAAATGTAATTTTAAGTATATTTCTGAGCAGTACATAAAGCCCATTTCTGAGAAGTACATAAAAAGTAGACTAAAAGTATACTTTCCTATTTTTAGTTTAAAAGAAGTATACTAATAGCACACTTGAATAAACGTATTTTTCGTAAGGGTAGTTATAGAGGCTAACTATTAGAGGTAAGCTAACTATAGATTTGAGCTCTTATTAATGAAAGTTTGAGCTTTTAATCACATTTTATGTGTAGATGAGCGTTTCTGATAGTTTGTAAATGTTTTGCTGGTACTTTGTCAATAGATAAATGGAAGTAACTATAAGCTAATTAATTTCACCTAAAAGTCTGCACTGTGGGGTCAATCGGTGACGTCACTTACATGAACTAATGGGCTGAAACTATTTCAAACACGTTTTGAGCTTACATTGCAAACAAATTTTGATCAATTGTAATGATTTCAGGAGCGTCAGAAAAAACCCTAAAACAGGGGAAGTTACAAGAAAATTTGTAATGGGGGCTGCTGACAGAGATACAGGAAACAGGTGATCTGAGAAATCTTATTAAATAACTTTATGCATTTTTGACAATATATTTCAACGATATCATCATGCATCTGTAAAACCTAAAAATGTGAATTCTGGTATCTTAAGATTTTTTTGTTATGTTTTGTATATTTTTATTTCTCTTTTCTGCATTTCACCTCTGCTGTAGTTAGTTTATTTCTAATAAACCTGGCATATATGTATAATACATATTGTTGGCTATGTGACATATTGTTCCTATATACTTCCATGCTGATGGCCGTGCTGCAGAACTAGAG